AGGCCGATACAGGCCGATACCGATAGGGGGTCGATTATATCGTTCATCCCTAATGTATACGTAAGGCCGTCCTACGTGCTCATCCCCATTTTCACTTCCCGGTGGCGAGTCTGACATGAAAAAATTGCTCATTTTCTTTTGAAAAGTTAGCTTGTATGTGCAATGCAAAGAGCAGCTTTTAAACAGAGCATGCACGAGGAGAAATGGGCTCATGCATGCTCTCGCACGTGTTTGATAGGCAATCAATCTCGGGAGCGGGTACAGTGTTGTGCATGTGCGGTTTACTTTATTTTTTTTTATCCTCCACTATACCTTTAAGGAAGCGACCCCATCAGCAGAAGGTAATCTACCCCAAAGCCATGGACATCATTACCATGTTAAGCAGCTGAATTTAGAAAAAATCATAAACATGAAGCAGGAGAACATCAGCCATGTTTGGCAAAATTTATGTTTTTACAGGTTTTAAACCGATCATTTCACATGAAACAATCCTGCAGGTGCCGTCATCAGAACATACGTCTAACTAGCTCTTCTAAGGACAGGTGTGCGAGTTCAGCTGGCCACTAATCATCTACAGGTACCTGTTGGACTCTGAAGTCAGTCTACAGCTAAAAAAAAAAAAAAAACAGTAGCAACGCTACACATCAAATACACCCCAAGAGCTTCTCTTCAGCCTCTTTCGTTTTATACCCACATGTTCATCAGCACAGATGCTCTGATAAGTGCAGAAGCTCTGCAGTTTACAGCCTGTTCCATTCAGTGATCAACCAGCAGTGATGGGCCCCTCTTCTCAAATGCCTCTGGATATCACACATCATATAAACCAATTCAAATGGCATCTTTAAACCAAAGGTGGTGTGGATCTCTGCAGGGCTGATAAGATCGTTTCATATGAAATAAACCAGACTGTCTGAAGAGTTTCACCCATTCTAACGTATATTGACATGTTTGGCATCCAAAACGCAGAAGTTCAGCATGTCACAGAGACCATCTGAAACCGTATGTTAACATTAACGGATTCACTTCCATACACAGATGCACAAAGCCAGGATGAGTCTGGGGTAGTTTATGTTTTGTAAGGATAAAAATAAATCGCTTTGATTTAAAGACAACTGACAAAATCCAGTAGAGAGGAGATGTCGGCTTGCACCAGTAAGGGATCTTAGCCTTAGTATTGCATGAATAAGTTGGTTAAAAACTCACACACCATCTATAACAGCTTTACAGTAACACACTGTAAATGTACATCTGGGGGAGATCCAGCCCTTTACCCGTTCAGTCCAGCTGAGCCCATCACAGCAGTCAATAGGTAAGTGGCAGGGTACCTCCTGGACAGACCAACAGGGCCAACACTCACACCAACCCATGACATCTACAGTATGCTTGGACAACTTTTACAGCTTGGAAACATTCATTTTGCTGATGCTCTACACTGGTCTCTGGATTTTATGGGGAAGGAATGGTAGAACGCACAAAAAAAAAGAGGGAAAAACAAAAAGCAATAAGCCTGAATTAATGCGCCTACTAGTCAAACTGTCTCAGTACGAGTCAGACCAGCAAAAAACAACAACTTTCTAATCAACAAAAAACCCTACAGAGAGTCACAACAAATTTAAAGTGCAAAGTCATTGAAAAAGTTACACTAAGGCTTTTCGATTGGTTCAGACATGAAGTGTAAAAGTTGAGATCAAACAATGACAGAAAAGCTGCAGTCAAACAGCAGCGGGGGGACAGGTCGTACACGGGACCCTAAAGGTCTTCAGAACATTTGAACATTCACAACAAGCTTCACTGCAGGAAGCTTGGACTTCAATGGCTGAACCCACAGAGTGGAAAATGTTCCTCGGTTATTTTTTAAGTGAGGAATGGATTTAGGCCCAAAGCCAAGAGTTGACTCTATATTGCTGGACTTAAAGCTACAGACATTGAGGGTATTCTTTACCCGGTCTGTGCATCGAGAAACAGAACATTTTACCATTTTCTCTAAATACAGCTAACAGCTCAAATAATCAGCCTCGGGTCTGAAATTTGATTCGGCCATTCCAACTTTGCAGTTATTTTAGATATTTAGAATCACTGTCCAGTTTGAAAGTCAGCCCCTTCCTCAGTCTTAAGTCTTTCTTAAACCTTTATTCCTACAGTGCCCTTCCTGTAGCTCCACCCCCCTTCACTCTTCGCTACCCTGGTTATAAAACATCCCCACATTATAATTCTGCCACCAGCCTGTTTCTATGTGGTGGTTTTCCTATAGTGTTTGGAAAGAGATTCTTCCACAGATTAGCTTTGAAGTCTACATGGAGCTGTCCTTTGGACAGATCCTTCAATCCAAGATGTGGATTTCTGCAACACCTTTACAGTTTTTAGCCTCTTGGCTGCTTCTCTGATTAATGCTCCTGGTGAATGGCAGTCAGAACAACCAGACTTACTGTTGTGCCAAGTTTGCAGGATGAATAAAAATAAAGTTTTCTTGCTTTGTTGCTGTGATCCTACGTTTTCTAGTGACGTTTGTTGTACTCTGATTACCTCAGACCGAGGTGGACTCCGTTTAAGATTAAGAGGACTTCTGAGTGCAGCTTGTTCCATTAGATTTTCTATAGGAGCATCATAATAAATGGGCTTAGTAGAATACAAGCCCTTCATCTATATTTTTGTATTTCTATCAATATTTACTAACATTACTTAGGATAAAAAAACTCTTTACTCCAACTATTTGGGTGCATGTGGTCTGTAGTCTGCACCAGCTTCAGACTAAGCCGTCTCAACGCTAACATTTCATTTATTCTGTCTCAGAGCGGTCGCTAATGGCCTGTTTCCTGTCTGAATGTCTTGTCTGTGTGTGTAGTGCTGCTTGCCCCCCCTCTACAGTTTAACTATTAATCTACCACGCTGCATACACTCCCTTTTGAAGTCTAGCTTTGGATCTGCAAATAAATATGGAAGCTCATTTCCATTTTCCTTTAACTAAAGATTTGGCTCTACCTTTGCAATCTGGACTCTTTAAATTTGGATAAAAACAAGTAATTTCTGGAGACGATGTGACATCCTTTCTGTGCAAAGAGACACTCAAGAGAGGAACAGTTGGCTACCAGGTAGAGCGCAGCGTCAGAATACTTTGATCTACAAGTTTCAGGCTCTTATCTAAGAGCTGAGGTCCTGCATTTCTACCTGCAAAATGACTGATGGTGGCGGAAAGATGACGGATCACAAACAGCCCTTGGTTGAATGCTGACTGATTTCAGATCCTCTGCAGCTTCTTTCAGAAGCAGAGTTTGATATTAAACCAACAGACAAGATAAAAATAAAAAAACAGCAGCAGCCCAGTTTAAGCTAAGATGTTTGTACTCACTCTGCTGCTCTCCTTGAACAACTTAAAGCTCATCCACTTGGGCATGTCGACCTCTTCTCGTCCGCCTCTCTGTCTCTCTGTCCCGCTTTGACAACTCCTTCACTGTGTCTGCCTCACACACACAAACACACCCTCACACACCCTCTTCCTTTCCCTCAGCCTTAACAAACAGCCGCTGCTTTGTGTTTGAAGACAACACTATCCTGCCCAGTGTGAGTGTGTGTGTGCGTGTGTGTGTGTGTAGGGTCAGTGTGCGAGCACATTTCTCTCACTCCATGGCAGCAACTGAGGAACTAAAACACTTTCAACTGGCAGCAATGGGAGCATAACTATGCGTTATTGTGTGAATTTGTTGGCGGGTTCAAAAGTCACATGAGCAGCAGATGGTTACAGTACTGCTTTACTTTGAGCTCAATGAACCTGCTTATGAGAACATACGTGTCAACAGTAGCTGTCTGTGCAGCAGTATCTAATCTACAGGCTGCAGCACCAACAACAAAGAACATTTTTATTTCAAAACGTCCCACCAGAACAGGAGGATACCCATCGACTCTGGTTTCTTCAACCTGGTTAAAAACCCCTTCTTAAAAAGATTTCCTTTCCCTCATCCTGAATATAATTTATCAGCATAGACAGATGCATGTTAGAGTATAAGGTCTGAGTGGATCTGGACAGCAGTGCTGGAAAGATTTGACCCCAGGATGAGCTGCTGATCCCCCTTTAAAAGGTCCCTAATCAGGTTTCTTTAAGTAAACAACAAAGTTTACGTAATTATACAATATCAGTTTTGGAACTAAAGTGTATTTGTCATGTATAAAATAGTTACACCCCCCCCCAAATCAATAGACAGACACTAGTGGTCACTGCAACGCTGCCTCTCCTCTGTCTGGGCAATGCTGATGTTTCCATATCATGTCACTTCAGGCTATTACACCCATTTTTGGGTCTAAAGGAATTCTGAGATGCTTGCAGCCAAAAATAAATAATTATAATGGCTCTAACCTGAGCTACAAAAAAAAAAAAAAAAAAAAAAAAACAGTTGCAGTCACTGTGCAGATTAGCTTCAAAAAGACCTATGTTGCCTTAAGCCCGGCGTACACTGTGTGATTTTTTTGGGTGATTTTCCAGTCATGCGACAATCTTTCGATCGGCCCGACTTTCAGCCTGATCGTGCGTCGTGAGTCGTGTAGTATACAGGGGGTTATGAGCAGCGATCAGCCTCTCACAACCACCTCCCGATCATGAATCGTGATGTAGGGAGAATATCAAACATGTTTGATTTTCTCCCGACCGTCGCTCAGGGCGCATGCGCAAACAAGGATTCTTTTTTTTATTCCTCCTCTCAGATGTAAACACAGCAGCCAGGCAGGGATGCAATGAGTGAAATGCAGTTCTGTCCTTTTTCCAAAGACGTTGTCGCCTTTTCTTTCTAGGACTCTCAGCACAAAATTGCACAAATTTTCAAGGCAGCGCGGTTCACCATATTGAGCTTAATATTCAACTTTCTATTTGTTTGGCTTCAGGATAGAGAGCTACAGAGCAGCTCCATCTCACTGCGGAGCTGGGTCCGACGGGGTTTTTAGTCGTACAGTGTGAGCAGGTAGATCACATCAGAGCGTCAGGCCGAACATAAGTCATGAACTGCTGCTCACACTGTACTCTGCCTCTAATTGCAGAAAGGAGGCGTCTTTTCCAGTGGGCCAACATAGCAAGGTAAAGGTGTTTCCTAAGGTGGGTTACAACGATCCTAGACTGATGCGCTGTAAATACAGCGTATCAGGAAAGCAGCATGTAGGACCTGATTCTAAAGGCGGGACTAAAGAGGTCAGCAGAAACAGAAGCAATCAGTTGGCAATGAAGGTGACACAAAACACTAACTACTTTCCATCATTGATGGAAGAAGTATCATTAAAACATAGCTCCGTTGTAGCTGCCACCATGACCATTATGAAATTGTCAGTTATTTATAAGGCGCCATAAACATGGTACAAAAATTTGAAAAATTCTTTAGGCATTTATACGAGGTACAGATACTGGAGATACCCTTTATCACACAGTGGGTAGTTTTTATAGAGCATGGCAGAAGCTAAAAAAGGAAGGCAGAACTGAAAAAGCATCTAAAGTGCAGGACTGGTGGCGGAGGAGCCATGAAGGCTGCCAAGCTCACTACCACTGGAATGATCCTTTAAATAAAGACCACAGGCTGAACCACAGCGGACTCGTTACCCTGAACCACGTCACACCAAAGAGATTCCACTCATATATACAGGAGGGGACGGCTGTGATGGAACATCAGCAAAGCATCATGGAGCTGAAGCAAAGCTCAACGATCAGAGGTGTGCGCCCTTTATGATGATCCCTACAGCTCTGCCACAAAAACATGCCGACAATACACTTTCTGTGAAAAACATGCATCTAAAAGTTTAGCTGAAGGCAGAAGACTGAGGAAGAATCCCTTCATTCAGAGAGAAAGAAACTTAACCACAACCTTTAGGAGGCAAACTGTGATCGCCCAGTCATCTCCTGACATTTTATAACAGATGAACAATACAACTTCTGTCTTTCTGGGACCAACTGAGCAATGTTTCAACAAGTCAAATATTATTACGGAGAAATCATACTCATGAATGAATAAACCACGTTTCCTTGTCTGTTTCTAATATACATGATTACATCCGCCAAGGAGGTTATGTTTGCGGTCTTGTTTGTTTGTTAGCAGGATTACTTGAAAAAGGGCTCCTCATCCCAAGAAACAATTGGATTAAGGCTGCAAATAACGATTATTTTGCAAATCGATTAATCTGTAGATTTTTTTTTTTTAATTAATGGAGTAATAATCAGATAGCCAAAATTTCCTTAAAAAAGATTTTTTTTAAGAAACCAAGTGAAACTAAAACTTCCACTTGAGGAGTTCTGGGTAGAGCATATTGAATATGATACATCTATACATTTTTTTTATCTTAAAAGCCAAATATTTACCATTTTAATATAATTACTGCTCTAAGTGGATCGCTCTGTAAGCTAAAGGCATGTTTTAAGGTGTCTATACTTCAGATAATGATTAATCGATTACTAAATTAGCTGACGATTATTTCAATAATCCATTGATCATGATTAATCCAATTAATTGTTCCAGCCCTAATCTGGATACAGGAATTTTTTTAAGAATCAGTTATTACTTGGAAGAACAAGAAAATGCAGTGTATGTGTCTTAGCTATGAGTGTAAGCAGCAACCATCCATCCATCCACCCATTTTTCTGTACTTCCTAGGCCTTGGAAAGCTGTATGGAGCTGGTGTAGATCTCCAGCCACTAGGCCAGGTCCACAAAGGATGATGCCAGTCAATCACTGGGCAATTGGAGACTCAAAAATTCACACACATTAACCAGTATCAGTATAGTGAAGGTGTCAATATCTCAAAGGGGATGGCTAATCTGAAGGTCAGTAACTGTTAAAGTCTAAAAATATGTTTGCTTCGTCACAGGTTTTTATTATGGCTCCAACAGCCATGCAGACTGCATGACAACATTTCCAGGACTAATCCCTTGTTTGCTGAAAACATGGATGTAATGCTGTCTGGCTGTGACCCGTCTGCTGGGGCAGAGCCAGGAGAGGATCTACAAGCAGAGGACAGAAACAAAGAGAATCTCTTCGTTTTGGGTAGATCATGTCACCACATCAACACAAAGGGCATCCCAGGACTTGAACAGGAATAAAAAAAAAAAAAGATTGGTTGAAATGACCAAGGAAACTCTCTGGATACATTTCTCCAATTAGTTTCCAGCTTTCTTCAGGTTCTTTCAGATAAACAATAACTTTGTTAGAACTCTAAAATATCATAATCAACACCAGATAAAATATATTTTTTTATAAAATAAACAAAGGTATTTCCAGAACCCAAAAAGTGTTTCTTTGGTCTAAAAACACCTTCAACTTAAAGGACAAGTGGGAGCACATGTCTGAAAGGGATTAGGGGAATGAATGTTGCTTTTAGTTCAAGTCTTTGGAGTTGGTTTTTGATAAAGATTATAGTAAGTATGGCTCAGGTTATCCTGAGCTATCACTATAGTTATGATGCTATAGGCTTAGACTGCTGGAGGACATAGGGACCCCTTTTCATCATTTGTTCTTTCTCCATTCTCCAATTCTGTAGTATTTGTTAATTCAATCTCTAACATTAAGCTCTCTGCTTTTTCGCATCATAGAAGCTTCATCTGGTCTGGAGATAAATATTAGCTGTGCTGCTGCCATCAACACCTTTGCTCATAGATGATGGAGCTTGGCCCGTTTTTCAGTGTCATCCTGTTTCTCTACTGTGACTAATTCAGTGGGGGCTGGTGGAGTTTTCTGGAGGGGGGGCTATGAATTCAAAATAGACGTATCCCAAAAACCAATCAAACGTATACCAAGTTACCATAGCAATATATTTACTGTATATGAATGCCAAAAACAAAAAACATTATAAAAACACTTCAGAAAAATAAAACATTATTTCATGTACAAGCTTATTTTTGTACATAAATTTTGCCGTTCTGAGGCTCTGTGCAGGCAAATCTGTTTTGCATGGTCAAATATGGTGTCACAACCTAAAAAACTAACGTACCA